CAACTGCAAGTAACTTTAATCTTGAAAAGTGTGAAACACTCAGGACATAATTGAGGTCATCATTTCATGAATGAACTGATGGAAGATGTGACTTACATAAGGAAAACGGGTATTTCTTTATTTTTACACGTCATTTTCATTTGTCTATTTGGAACTTAGCTTATGTATTCAAAGTATAGATGCACCAAAAGTCAATATTTTATCTAGGATTGATGTAATAATGACAAATAAGTCTCAAATAATGTCATATTTTTATCCCTTGTAGTAGCATGGAAACCTATGTGTTCATGATTATGGTGTAAGACCTTGGATTTGGGTCTAAAAATATTTGTGCACCCACGGGCTTTATGGATATTTATTTGCTTGCTTTCTTAAAAAGCTAAGTGTATAAAGAAACTGTAGAAGAACTGGCATGTCATACAGAATTTCTAATCTGTTATTAGGAAATGTTCTAAGACATGCCTTGTATAAACAGACAGGTCAGAGACAAAGAGAGCAAAGGAAATATTTATCAGACAAGGTTGATTACAAAAAGACTGAGGCTACAAGCCAGGACTGGAGTCTTTATTGTGGATTAAACAAAAATGCTTTTTGAAAGTATTGTGAAGTTCCCAGGACTAGAGACTAGAGCTTCATGCTGGATGGGGATAAGAGAAGAAAATATTAAAGAAGGGAATATAAGAAAGCAGTTCCTTTGAGTACTCTTTCTTAACTCCTGGAAGCAAGAAACTTTCTAAGGGTGAAGAAGATTTAGCTGGCCTGGGATTTTACAGGTACCTACAAGTGATAAGGCACAGATAGACAACCTAGCTCAGTGACATCTGCCAAGGGGCAAGTACTCAATGGGGACATTACTCTGACCACAGGACCCTTTAGTCTGTGCCATCCTACCGCCTTCCACCCCCACCACCCACACACCCAGATTTAAACCTAAATAATGGAAAAACTATGCTCAGTGAGATTTTCCACTTCTGTGCAAGCACCTTGCTTTCTCTTCCTCTGTCTCTGAAGCACTGTTTCCCCTCCTGCACATCCCTCTTCTTCTCCCTCCCCTTCCTCCCTTCTTTATTTTCTTCTCCCCCCCCTTTTTTTATTTCTCTTTTTTCTCCCCTCTGGCTTTCCTGATCTCTTGTTGTCTTCTCTTCTTATCCTCACTCCAACATTGGATCAACCCTGCTGTCTATATTTTACGTTCTATACCCCTGCTCTGATTCTTAATGAAATAAGTTTCAGGACGCCTACTGATCAGATCCATGACAAGTGTATAATTTGTAGGAGCAGCTGGGCCCTCCTTGGCACAGGCCAATCCTTTCATTCTTTATCATATGCTCGTTTTCCAATTCTGTTCCACCTTAGCCCTATTTCTCCTAATTTACTGGGGGACATCAGCTGGCAATTCCTTAGACTTCTTTTTCTATTCTTTTCTCCTATCTTCTTCTTGGGGAAGGAAAGGGTCTCCTCACTTTCGTAAGGAGGAACTCAGAAGTTATATTTAGAAGGATATCCCAAATGATCTCCTTATCTCCTAAATCAGGGTCTCTTTGTCTCCTGTCATAACAGCTATCCCGCCCATTGGCTCTTCTTTCTTTCCTTTTGCCACCAGAATTAGGTTTAGCATTCGTGGTATGGTATTTATTTAGTCAACTGTCATGTTTCTTGTTCTCCACTTTAAAGTTAGAAGATTTTGTTTTAGATTTACAAGAAGCTTTGTTTTTTTTTTCTTCTCTGCTTGTGGCTCTTGATTAAAATTTTTTCAGTGATCTTCCCAACCCAATGATTATTGGATTTTCTGTGACTTAAAGATGGCAAAAAAAAAAAAAAGAGCTTTTTCTGAAGATGGTGATGAGAATCTTTATAAGCAAAGGCAGCCTTTATATTTATGAGTCAAATGTCGAACAGATCTGACTGCCCAATAATCATCTTACTCAGATTGTATACAAACTGTTGGCTATTTTTAAAAAGCCTATGTAGAGAAGCAGAATATTTGGGAAGCTTCTGAAATACTCTTTGACTATTAATACCTTCAAAATCTGGCTTGGAATTTTCTCTCCTGATAGAAGGCTTCTGGGAGTAACCTTTTCTAAACTCAATCTGTACCAGCCATTAAAAGTTAATGTTGCCATCAGTGCCCTGTGCTTGCTTGTTTTCTTCATAGGGTAGTGGTTAAGTGCATGGGCTTTAGAGATAGGTGGCCTAAGTTTACATCTCAGCTTCCATTATGTGACTATAGGTGAGTTATTTAACCTCTCTGTACCTTAGTTTCGTCACTTATAAAATGGGGACACAATTGCCAAGAATTATCATAGCATATTTTTAAGAACTGAGTGAGAAAGGTAATCCTTTTGGGGTGTGCACCATGCTGAATTCACAGGAAAGGCCTATTATCATTGCTATTGTTCTAAGTTATTATTATAGCTAGTGATATATATTGTTTGCATTTCCAACTAAATTGAAAATCTCTTGAAGTCAGGTGTTTACATCATTACTCAAACACAAAACAAATTAATACAGAATTTTTTTTTTTTTTTTTGAGACAGAGTCTCACTCTGTTGCCCAGGCTAGAGTGCTGTGGCGTCAGCCTAGCTCACAGCAACCTCAAACTCCTGGGCTCAAGAGATCCTCCTGCCTCAGCCTCCTGAGTAGCTGGGACTACAGGCATGTGCCACCATGCCCCGTATCTTTTCTATACATTTTTAGTTGTCCAGCTAATTTCTATTCTTTTAGTAGAGACGGGGTCTCGCTCTTCCTCAGCCTGGTCTCGAACTCCTGAGCTCAAATGATCCACCTGCCTCGGCCTCCCAGAGTGCTAGGATTACAGGCGTGAGCCACCTCGCCCAGCCCTTAATACAGAATTTTTGAGGCAAGTCAAAGACAGAGAATATTTTTTCTATCTTTAAGGCATCTATAATAAGTATTAAAACATAATAAATACAGACATATTTCTCAGTCTTACATGATATTTTATTTTTGCCTTCATTAAATTTAGTTTAATATTTTACAAATGGAAAGTTATCAACAAATGGCTACTGAATACATGTAACTTATTTCCACAGGGCAAAATTTTAATTTAAAATATAACTCAAACATATTATAAATATGTAGTTACATATGCTGAACATAAAAGCAGTGTTTACAAAATTTACTTCATTTAACATCATTAAAAAAAAATTCTGTAGTTCACTTAGGACAGCTAACTCCTCCAAATTCCTAGGAAAGTGTCAGTTTTCTGAAAGTACTTAATGGTATCTGGACTAAGTGTACATTTCAAAACACTCACATTATGAGTTAATGCATTTGCAACAGACTTCTGAGTGAACTTAGGTATGGCTTACGTTGCAAATGAAAAATGCAAAGGAATGAGGAGTTAAGACTTACTGAGTACCCCTGGCACTCTTAATGGTTTTCTTTGCTTCCTTTTCTCTCTTAATAGATTATCATCTCAGCTAGTATTATCCTAATCAAACACTATGAAAATGTTTCATGTTAAGGATTATAGAATCATATAATGTGGAAAATGGAAGGAAACAAAAATAATCAAGTCTTTTCAAGACAGCCACCTTCATGCCCTTTACTTGAGTTATTTACTCTAGTTTTATCATTTATTTTCATGCTGTTCAATTGACCATGACTCAAAATACCAGTATACTTGCAGTCACACACATGAATATAAAAAAAAAAGATAAAAAAATACCAGTGTACTCATACCATGTGCTTGGACACAGCCCTTTCTATATATGTTTCTCTAAAAAACCATCTGGGTCTTATGGGGTATTTTCTTTTGTGGTATCACAGCCAGGAGCTCGTGGTTTTCCTTCTAGTATTTTTTAAGGGAACATTATCATTAACATTTGGGACCAGAAAAAAATTTTGATGGTATATATTTTACAGATATTTTCTTCTTGGATTTTTTTCCTCTAAGAGAAAAGTCTTAATATGTCACATAACAACATATTATTAATTAATAACTCGTCAAGAAGTGCTAGATTCCAGTCCTGTGTGGATCCACTTAAATATGTCCCTAAACAGCTAATAATTCATTTAGTTTTCTGTTAAACTTACTCAAATACATTCTTGGCTTAAATTTTTGAGATTCAAGCGAAGAAAACTAATTTTTCAATAAATGTAATAATTAGGGAAGTCTCCAGTTTATATTTTTAAGATACTAAAAGTAGTTGTAACTAATCATTTTAACTAAAAGAAAAAAAAAGGATTGGTAATAAAACCCCCCAAAAACATATCTTAATCACTTTGGAGTTACAATTGTGTTTTACGTCTATCAATAAAAATCTGTACCATTCACATTATTTCCAAGAGGATTGATTTTGGTCTCTGATCTTTAATTAAATGTACTAGACAGGACGATTTGGGGAGCTTGCTTTGCCGGGTAGGTGTTAGGTATCTATCGAGACCAATTGTGCTGATGCAACATGAAGTATCGACTAATACAAAACACTTTTGGAAATTCTCACATTGATGTTACTAGTGATATTAGTTTTTAGCATTTGGTTAATTTAATAAACAGTACTGGAATAAAAAGGAAAAAAAAGCAAAACAGATAAGGGCAGGAAGGGAGGACTCCACGCTCCTCTCCCAACCCTCACTTCTTTGGAGGCTCAGCCCTCTCGGAGTAGCAGGTTCCTGCATGTGCCAGGAATTCGGTCCCAGCGAAGAGAGGCGTTCTGCAACGCCAGGGCGTTCCCAGCTGGTGACTGCTGGCTGCTTGGAGCCTGCAAACACCTGGCGTGGTTCTTGGAGGCCCTAGACTTCTGCCACCGACTGGTGGGCTCTGGGGCTGTAGGCAGAGAAGCCTCTGAGCTGTCAGAAGGGTTTCCTGTGTGTCAGCAACTTCACTTTGCCGAGATAGCTGGCGGAAGAGCGAAGGAGCGCTCGTGGGCCAATCGCTTGCCAGCAGCGAACTCTGACTGAGTGCACCCCTCGCCCTCGCTGCCGACCCTGGTAGCCGCGGCCTGGCAGAGGCTGAGCGCACCCGGCCACGGCGGAGACCGACACTCCAGAAGACGCCTCTGGTTTCCCCCTGACCCCTGGAGGGTGCGGGCTGGCTGCCGGGCGGGCTTGGCTGAGGCACGCCTCTCTCGCTTCCCAGCGGAGCGCGGACTCGCTCGGGTGCCCAAACTCCGCCCACCCTCGCGGGGAGCGGAGCTCTCCCGCCTGCCCCCTGCACTCAGGACCGAGCAGGGCCTCGGGAAGAGCTTGAGCGGACCGCGAAGAGTACGCGATTCCGAAGCGCACGGGTCTGCAGCCACACGCGCTCTGATGGCCCCCGAACGCTGAGCGCGGGGTGGGCGCAGGTAGAGACGAGGAGCCCCGAAAGCGAGCTGTTTATTTCCAAGGTACGGAGGAGGAAGATGTCCACATGAAGTTGCTCTTTGCGGGAAGGAGGCTGGGGAGCGCCTTCCCCACGCCAGGGCGCAGCGGAGCGAGTTTAGCTTGACCTCGCTGCGCCTCCGGCGCGCTTTGCAGCGCGGACCCGCGGCGCTTAGCAAAAGCGCACTCGGAAAGTTATCGGTGGCGGTGCCCTGCGCTCCCTGTTGTGTAACCTCGCCGCTGCCCGCCGGACGGGGAAGTTGCCGGCCTGCCCGCCTGCCCAGTTCTGTCGCAGCCCCAAACGGATTTCATGGCCCGCGGCGAACGCGGGGCCGGAGCCGGCGTGGGCGAGTCCCCGCGCTCCCCCTCCCGCGGGGGTCCCCCGCGCCCACTCCCTTCCGCTCGCCGGGTTTCCGATGTTCGCTGAGCCCCGTGCCGCCGTCGCTCTCTCGCCGCAGCTTGCCCCTCGGAGCCTCCGCCTAAGTCCGGGAGGAGAGAATGACCGAAGTGCTGTGGCCGGCTGTCCCCAACGGGACGGACGCTGCCTTCTTGGCCGGCCCGGGCTCGTCCTGGGGGAACACCACTGTCGCCTCCACTGCCGCGGTCTCTGGCTCCTTCAAATGCGCCCTGACCAAGACGGGCTTCCAGTTCTACTACCTGCCGGCTGTCTACATCTTGGTGTTTATCATCGGCTTCCTGGGCAACAGCGTGGCCATCTGGATGTTCGTCTTCCATATGAAGCCCTGGAGCGGCATCTCGGTGTACATGTTCAACTTGGCTCTGGCCGACTTCTTGTACGTGCTGACTCTGCCAGCCCTCATCTTCTACTACTTCAATAAGACAGACTGGATCTTCGGGGACGCCATGTGCAAACTGCAGAGGTTCATCTTCCATGTGAACCTCTATGGCAGCATCTTGTTCCTGACATGCATCAGTGCGCACCGGTACAGCGGTGTGGTGTACCCACTCAAGTCCCTGGGCAGGCTCAAGAAGAAGAACGCGGTCTGTATCAGCGTGCTGGTGTGGCTCGTCGTGGTGGCGGCGATCTCCCCTATCCTCTTCTACTCGGGCACCGGGGTCCGGAAAAATAAAACCATCACCTGCTATGACACCACCTCAGACGAGTACCTGCGAAGTTATTTCATCTACAGCATGTGTACCACCGTGGCCATGTTCTGTGTCCCCTTGGTGCTGATTCTGGGCTGTTACGGATTAATTGTTAGAGCTTTGATTTACAAAGACCTGGACAACTCTCCTCTGAGGAGAAAATCGATTTACCTGGTTATTATTGTACTGACTGTTTTTGGTGTGTCTTACATCCCTTTCCATGTGATGAAAACGATGAACTTGAGGGCCCGGCTGGATTTTCAGACCCCAGCAATGTGTGCTTTCAATGACAGGGTTTATGCCACTTATCAGGTAACAAGAGGTCTAGCAAGTCTCAACAGTTGTGTGGACCCCATTCTCTATTTCTTGGCAGGAGATACTTTCAGAAGGAGACTCTCACGGGCGACCAGGAAAGCTTCCAGAAGAAGTGAGGCAAATTTGCAATCCAAGAGTGAAGACATGACCCTAAATATTTTATCTGAGTTCAAGCAGAATGGAGATACAAGCTTGTGAAGGCACAGGAATCCCCAAACCTCACTTTTGTAACATGGTAGGATGCTTAACAGAGCCAAGTGCTTTTTTTTTCCCCTTTTAAGTTTCTAGTAAGTTTAGAGAAAATTCAAACTAAGAGAGTAGTGAGTTGAAAAAAATTAATAGAAGTAGAAATGCCCACATCCACACTTAACTTGTTCGGGTTTGCTTTCAAAGTCTCGTTTCTTTCTGACTAGAAGTATGTATAATAAAACAATACTACTTAGTTAAACATTTACTTTCTCTTCTGCCTTTAAAGTTTACAAGCTTTTCTGTTTAAAGGCTGTGTGCATGTAAGTAATGGGGCTATTTTGATACTAGTAATTTCTCCAAGAAAACTAGCCACCTGAATTATAGTTTGTGATTTGTTTAACCTTTCTTGTTGTTAATAATCCATGGTAGGAACAAATTGAAAATCCACATTCTCAAAAATATTTAGCACAGAATAGCAAAATACTAAACTCAGTTCATTCAGTATCAGATGAACAGATCTTTGAGCTGGATGTCTTTCAGTGTCTTACAACTATAGATGATAGCTGACTGAGTTTCTTCAGGAAATTTGATAGAAAAGTAAAGTCAATGGATTTAAAAGCCTGAAAAATGATTGTTTTCCAGTCATTTCTGGCGAACTACTTAGTATACATTGGTTGCTAAATGTTTGATGGCGGAAGCCTGCATATACTATCTTACTGGTAAAATGCATTCAGAATCATTAAAGTGCATGTATTTTCCTTGTAAACACCATGAACTCTCTTAGACTTCTGTGATAAAGAGCATTTATTTGCACCACTGCTGTGCAATGCCTTTAGGACTTTGTTTGTGTTCCAGGACAAGTGATGATTCACATCTGTAAAAACAATTTAAAAAGCACAGATAAATTATAGACCAAAAGCTTGAGTAAAGTTGAATAACTGTTAGCAAGTTGAGGGATGTTGAGCAGGAGGATAGTATTTCAGAACAGGAGTGGTTGACAGTCATCCACAACACAGAGCCTGCAAGTATACTCTCGAATGTATGTGGCAACTGGGGGTGGACAAAGACATTTTAGAATAATGACTTTAGTTTGAATTAAAATCCTGGTAGAAAAGGCTTTTGATGCTTCTTCAAAGTGTTTGTAAGTATTAAAGGCAATATGAAAAGAAGAAGTAGGCAGAATTTGTATGGGTTGCATTGATAGAATGGGAAGTTATTATCTTTTAATGAATCTTACATCATAATATTTAAAGAAAAAAATATGGGAAGAAAAATAAGGAGAATTAAATTTAAGTAGCTAAGGTACTATAACACTGAAAAGTAAGCTGTAGAAGAGAAGATTACTGGTCAGTGTGTTCTTTTACAGTTGTTCTCTGTCAGGCGTTAGTGAAAAACTTGTAAAATGCTTCAACAACTTTAATAACTTTCAATGAATATTGAATTGCTGCATTTCTAGTCCTTCAGATTCTATGTAATGAGAAAAATGAGGTTAGGTAATGCAGTTAATAACCCCAAACAAATAAATCAAGTGTCAAAGCCTTTTTAATTTTGAAAGCAAGACCCTGTAAAGTCATCATCAGAGTTTGCAACTGATGGTGGAGTAACTTGTTTGAAAGCACTTTACAAGTAAAGCAATACGGAGCTTTATGTTAAGGCAAGAAAGAACCTTAGTGTCCCAGGGAACAAAATGATAGGAAATTCAGGGTTTAATTTCAGTTCTTGTAATGCCTGGGTAGATTGAAGATTTGTGAGAATTTCAGAGTTGCTGCAATTTACCCAATCTCTAGCCACTAAGATCAGCGAAGAAAAGCTGTGTTTAGCCTTCCCAAACAGTTGTTCTTTTACATGTTCAGTCTTAACGAATAGGCTTGCAGAAACCAAATCAAGAATAAACCTACCATACCTCCTCATTTTGAGGAGAGGGTTAGCAAAGTTCTCATTTGGTCAGGCTCATACAATGTTGTCTGTTTTAAAATCCTAAAAGAGAAAATCTGAAATATGTCATTACTGTGTTGACCCCATTAAACATATGTTCACTGTGGCAAGATCAGTATCATTAAACTGACCAAGATGGAAATTATAGAGCCTGTACCATACTTGAGCTAACAGCCTAAAGATACACATTTCTATAATATTTCCTCACCATTTACTTTAATTTTCTTTCTTTTAGGTCTCAGGATGCCCAGCCTGGTTTAGGATATGTGTTAAGTACATTGTTTCAGCTTCTAGAGAGCTTTCTTTGGGAGTGTGGATCCAGTGAGGAGGTGCACAGTGACTAGAAATGCCCTTTTACTACTTGGCATGTTTTTTCCAAAGTGTTTCTTCTTTAGCTTCGCGCATCATGTTGTTGACATTGATGACCTGTGAATGCATGCCAAACAGTAACAAGAATGATCTTGCCAACTCCTTCCAGGCCAAAAGAAGTCTCTGGGAAGATCTATGATAATGGTGAAAACATACAGAGGGTCAGGATGAAGCACTGATCTATTGGCTGAAAAGCTAACTCATGTCATATGATAATATAAGTATTTTAATAATAAAGGCAGAAATCTGTTTGCATTTGGATAAAAGATTAGCTAAAATTATAGAACTTATCAATTAATTGCACACTACAAAAATATTTTAATGCCAAGTTCAAAGTGTCGTATTGCTTACAAATTGCCATCTTTAACTCTTTGAACACCAATTTGTGTTTACACTGAAATGATAAAAAGACAAACTAAGAAGAAATATAGCATGCAAGTCAAGATTCATAGTTAAAAACATGATGTTGCCACTCAGCCAGCTGTGGGACTCTTGACCCTTTAAAGACCATCATGGATTAGAATGACATCTGTTTGTTGCATCCTAGGGGATGCGGAAAAGCACGAAAACTGGACATCAAGGAGTGCATGAAATCTGCTACTGTATTTTCAGGACTCTTCAATCCAATTCTTGGCTAAAAATTCCTACAAGGTTCACTAATTGTGATGTCAACCTATGACCTGTAAGTTGTCTCAATCTACCAGACAGGACACTAAACTGTCTTTGGATACTAGAGATGTCAATGCTTATTATAGCTGGAATTCCACTAGTGGCAATACTTAAAAATGTGATACTAGTTAGGATCTATTGAAGCTTTAACTTTGCTGGTCAAATTGTAACTATCATAACTGTATTTATTGATGAAGCTCATAGTCCTTCAGTTATACAGACTGGAAAACTTTCTTGAAAGATCCAACAAACTGATGTAAATTCTATTTATTACAATGTATAATATTAATATGTTAAACTCGTGTATTTTACATAATATATGAATGCGTAGATAAAATGAGAGTCATATATTACGATGCTTTTCAAATATCAGTATCTTGAAATATTTGTCTTCAAATATGTTTTGTCTAACATATGAAAATGTTTTGTGATATGAGTGACTAGTTTTCCCTAGAAATACTTTTGCATGTTTACGTTTTTATTTTGGGTTCTTTCTATATAAACACAATTTGGTGTCAGAGTATATTAATCAATAGTAAGTATAAAATATCTTAGTGAGATGGGGTCTTTATTGTCTACATTTTATATATATTATAGAAGGGTTTATATTGTCTTTTCAGGAGGTTTAGAATTTTGCCCCAAATGCAAAGCTTCCCTTTTCAAACGCAAAAGCCTTGTCTCAAATTCAAAGTTGATCTCTGATGTTTTAGAAGTCTGGTGGGATGGGCATTATAGATACAGCATTAGAATTTAAGGAAAAACTTTAGGGATATGGGGAGAGGAAAAGGCAGCTGGTACAATCAGTTACTGCTACTCAGTTTTACTTAAATTTTTGTATTGTGTTTCTTCTTAAGGTGAAATAGTATAATCTTAATTTTTTGAGATGGAGTTTTTAAGTAACACACTACCAGCAAGTTCAACACTGCTATTGATTTCAATCTGTTTTCTTTGTTCAATCGATAACTTTGATTATAATTTTTATAGTGATAACTATTTGGCTGCTTAATTCTGTTACAGTTTTTTATTCTGTTGTACCTTATATTATAGACATCATCACAAATTAATATGAAGGTCAGTATATGTTACATATCAAAATTTGTGAATTTGAATATAGTATGTTTTAGTGCTTTTGCAAAAAATGTTTATTTTTATATTATCTGTGATTTTAATATAGATAATTGAACTAGATTTTTTTTGAGTAATAGTGCCATTGAATGAGTGGAATGGAAACAGTGTTACTTGACATTTTGAGCTTTCTCAGGTTTATCTAAATCAGTGGTACCTTAACAAAATCCAGACTAATTGTGCATAATTGTGTTTTTAATAAAAGGAAAGTACATTTCCTATAATAGCATAATATTGTTTGCATGCTGGAGTATGCAAAATCTTGTATGTTTGTGTGTATGTGTGTGTGTGTCTGTGTCTGAGGCATGGCAGCCAACTTTATATCTGCTATTTATAGTACCAGCAGAGCTTCATAATTGTGGTCACTAAAATTGTACTTACCATTGACAATTAAAACTGAAAAAGACTCAATAAAACTATGAAACATGGTTTGATGGCTTCTGTGTTATTACAGTGTTAATTCTCACAGGTTTCCCCAAATTTTAACACGTAATATTATACAGACTGGCAGGTACTGTAGAATACATTGAACTAACCCAGGTGCTTCTTTAGGTGCAGACTGGGCTGTAAAACGATAGTGTTCAAGGAAAAATCCTGGTGCAAGATAATTGATAAGATTATCATCATTTGATATTTAATTGTCAATAGAAATGTGATCTAATTATTTAAAACAAAATACTGAATGCTCCCTTAATGCGTGCTTCTCATACTAGTGTTATGTGTTTAAAATGTTGGCTGTAATCTTTTCTCATCTAATTTTTAATTCATGGAGGTAATCATACTAGTAATTCTTTGTGGTTTCTGTTTATTAGCCTACATTGCCTGCTTCTCCAGGATTTAACTCCTTAATTAGCTGTACTATCCAGACTTCACCATTTCAGAAAGCTCACTTATTAACATTAGCTTTGGTAGAGGTTTTTTTGCGTGTATGCGTGTATGTATGCATGTGTGTCGGGGGGAGGTGTTTATTTAGTGCATACACAGAGATCACACAGATAATTTTCTTTCTGATTTAAGAACAATGTACCCTAAAGTTTTGAGCACCTTTTGATTTTCTAAATCACTTAAGGAGGATTAGAATCAAAGACCCTTTTCTCTCCACAAGTTAATACACATTTTAATTACCTCTCTTACTTTAATGAACTGGAAAATTTATTTTCTCTTTTTGTGAGGTTTAGGATTTTCCCCCAAATATGGTCAGAGCTTCCATTTCCAAATAGATAAAGCTTGTCTAAATTCAAAGGAGATCTATTATGGTTTAGAAGTCTGATGGGATGGGGCATTATAGACACAACAGATGTCACTAGAAATCCATGTTAATGTTAACGCTGTGCTTATTTGCTTAACCCTGCAAGGTTATACTGCTTTGGGCTGGACCCGGGGACTTACATCTCCAGCCAGGATGGCTGCTGGGACCAAAAGCCCAAACAGCAGCTATGGATAGAATGAGGCCGCTGGGCTGGCATCTGACAGCACTGCAGCCCCTCAGGAAAGGAAGCAAATATAGGAGGCAAGTGGAGTATTTTGGTACTTCAAAGAGGGAAAAAATGCACTGCTTTTCTTGATTACCTGATGGGGAGAAACAGCCTGTGTGAAGGTAGAAAATTCTTGACGATAGACTAAAACAGATAGAGACCTTGGAGATGATCCATTTCCATCACCTTGGTTTGCAGGTGAGTGCAAAATTTTCACATTCAAGTGTGGAGCTAGCAAAGAACATGGCGTTCTCATGTCTACTAAAACATTCATTCCACATCCCAAAGTTCTTCAGACTGTGAATCTTGACCCACTAATGGGTCATGAAATCAGGATGGTGAATTATGATCTAACAAAATGAATAGAATAGAATAAAATAGAGTCCATAACTCAGTGAGTAAGGCTTTGCGGCTTTAATTTCAGACACAGATACTCACACAACACAATACATACATGTATATTTACATATATTTGTGTCCTGTGTCACAGTGGATATTTTATTTCCTATCGTGGACATGGTCAAAAAAGTTTGAAAATTCTCCACTACTCAGAAAAAGAAAGCATGAGGTTAAAGGAATAGAGGATTT